CTGTCATACCAATGTAGTGTTTAGTGTCGTTCGTGTTGTTCGTTGTGACTGTGGCTTTGTAAATAATGTTGTTGGTCATACATTGTTTCGGTAGTGGGCAAGTGTTTTTGTTGTCGCAGTTACAGTTGTACTCATGTCAGTTTCCGTATTCTGTGATTCTCCACTAAATGTAAGAGACTGTTCCCTCGCACCGTACCATGTCATTTCGAAACGGCCTTCGACACTCTTAAATCGCTTCGCTCCACCTCCAGGCGAAGATCACTTGCCCTGTTCTTGTAAAAGCTCGCTCATAAGGTTCTTAAGCATTTCTAGGCTTCCTTTCCTAGGCTTCATTTAGTTCTAAATGTTCTAGGAGTCGTGAGCCATCACATTGAATTAAACTATGTTCGACTTCAAAATCGTTGTTGTTGTTGTTGTTGTCGGAACAAAGATCTTTACTATTTTCCAGCAAAATAGGTTCTGTTTGTTTTGTGTTAGTAGTTTCCCAAATGCTAGAACGGTCATCGTTTACAAAATCTAGTAAAGATTCAGCTAGATTTTGGCTCAGATTGGCGGAGCTCTCATTGACACGTTCTGTCGCCATTGTGAAGGGGGGCGGAGCTCTCATTGGCGGAGCTCTCACTGACATGTCCTGTCGCCATTGTGAAGGGGGTATGTCTGGCTATACAGATCAAATACACGTGTATACCTTCGAAAAATGGGAACAGATTTACTATTTAGCTTGAACACGCCGACACGCGGCGACTATTTACGATATAAATCGATAAAAATCGAAAGCATTTTGTCGATAAAAATCGATAAATATCGACGAAAATCGATGAATATCGATGAATAATCGATAAAATTGGCCATAACTTGTTGTGACTATCGATTGGTCATCGATTGACCAATGTCAATCGATATCAATTAAATAACTAACATCAATTACCATCGCTTAATCGATTGGATTTCCGATGATCGGTTTTCATCATATCTTTTAAATATAGCGTGTTTGAAATGTAAAAAACAGGGTGCCATGTTGCTATAGTTTGAAGTATTTCGCAAAATATTAAAGACAATGAAATCCAACTGCACATAAAGTTATTATACCATTTACATTTCTTCTAGCCCCCCCCCCCCC